CTGGGTGATTTGAGTATAATAGAAAAGGAAAATGTGTATACCTGTCATATTTTTCTTACAAATTTTTACCCTTTGAGTTCTTTAGTTAGGTGTTACATTCTGTTTTGGTTGCCACAGGTACAGCAGTTACCAAAATGGACTTCCCCCAAAAGAATCTTATAGAATTTACATTCTTTTACAAAAATCTTTCTTAAAACACCCAAGAGGAGAAGGGATCGTGGCGTAGCTATCCCCCTGGGAGATGATTTCTCACTTTCCCTCTCTGTATCTCTCTCTCTTCTCTGACAAGTGCATGTACCCTATGACAAAAACCTAAAAAAAAAGAGAGAGAGAGAGAGAGAGAGAAAAGAGATTTGGTCAGAGAAGTATATACAGGCCTTATACCCATGGTATTTATTGGGCTTTTATTCTGAGAGAAATGGAGAGTGGTTGAGGGGTTCTGAACAAAGGAATGGAATGATCTAACATTTATTTTATTTTTTCGAGAGATTTTTTTGCTGTCAGATATGTGCACTCATCATAGAGACAGACAGAAAGCGAGATATCACACACACACACACACACACACACACACACACACCCAGGGGAGAATGACCACACTGCAATCCCTTCTCCTTCATTCTCCTCTCAGGATTTTGAGCATGCATGCATACATGCCTGGCATGAGTTTCAAGCCTCTGGGTCTGGGACTCGAACCACGGTCGACTATGTGGGAGTCTAGCGCCTTAACCACTATGCCACCTGCTGACCCCAATATATATATCAGTTTGGCTGCTGAGTTGAGAATTACATTAGATGAGCAGAATCAGTGAGACCAATTAGGCTGCTTTGGTAATCTGGGCAAGAAATGGTGTGGACCAAAGAGAAAACAGTGGAGGAAATAAGGAGTGATTGGGACTAGCAGGTGACCTTGTGGTTCCTTAACCACAAGGAGGCTGGATCCACAGAGCCAGCTGCACTGTGGCTGGACCCAGCACTTGAAAAACAGGCATATGTGCACGCATGCCCCAAGTCCCAAGAGAATGGAGTGTAAAGGATTGCAACATAGCCATCCCCTCTGGGATGTGATATCTCACTTTCTTCCTCTTTCTCTTGCTGTTTCTCTCGCTCTGTTTCTCTCCCTCCTCCTCTCTCTCCAGCGAGCACATGCTCTCCATAGGAAAAACTTGGAGGGGGGAGGAGAAATGATCAGATTCTCTTTTGATGGTAGAACCTATTTGGCTCTAGACATGGGATGAGAAAAGAGGTTAAGCACAGGATTTTTTTGGCTTACACTACTGGATTCTAGTAGGATAGGGTAACATTTTACTGAGATGGAGATGTTTTCAGAAGGACCCAGTTCTGGTAGAAAAGATGAAAAATTAAATTTTGGCTGTAGCGGATTTTGAGATACCTATCAGACATCCATGTAGATATCAAGTAGACCATTAAATATAGAAGTCTAGAATTCAAGAATGAGGATAATTTGTGAGTTGCAAAACATTTATCTAACATTTAAAGCTATGACTTTGGAAGGTGTCACCAAGGAAAAGAGAGTCTCTAGAAGACAAAAGAGACATAAGGGCAGAGGCACTCCAGTGTTAAAACATCTGAGAAGGCGTGCCACCGAGAGGAGGGGAAGCCAGGTAAAGAACATATTTCAGGGAAAAGGGAACAGCCAACTGTCAAATGCCGCTAATAGATTAAGATGAGGGTAGAGAAAAGGAATTTTTTAAAAGAATTATTTCATTTAACTTTATTATTATTATTATTATTATTTTCCAGTTTGATCAGAGAGAGACAGAGAGAGAGAGGAAGTAAGAAAGCAAGCCACCAGGTCCGAGACTTGAACTGTGGTTGGCCATGTGGGAGTCCAGCACCCCTATCCAGCATGCCACCTGCTGGCCCGAGAAAAGGAATTTTTAAGTTTAAAATGTTAATAACGTGTCCAAGTAAGACACTATTATGTGATAAATCTGGATATTAAATCTATATTTGTCAGATCCTAACCACTTATCCTTTACTTTCTTTTTGTATTCTTTTTTTTATTATTATTTTGAAGAGTATTTTAAACTATGGAGAAAATTTAGATTAATGGAACAAAACTCCCTGTACTCAGAATTAATAGATTTTGATGTCTTATAAAATTTGATTCGGATGTACATTTTTTAATTTAAAAAGCTAGCTCCATGGCATGGTGGTTAAGGCAGCTGGATCTTACATAGCCAACTGCACAGTTTAAATCCTGGACCTGGTGCTTGAAAAACAAACAGCGTGTCTGTGTACATGCACACCCAAAATCCCAAAAGCAAGGAGGGATGGAGGAGAAGGGATTGCACAGTGATCATTCCCATGGTGGGTGCTTTCTCCTCTCCCTTTCTGTCTCTCTTTGATAAGTCCATGCACTCTCTATTGAAAAAAGAATTACAGACTATCTTATTCATTCAGAAAATACTAGTCTAAGGCCTAGTGACTGCCCCAAGCATTTGTTCTATATGCTTGGAATAAATAAGTAAAGAACACACAGATTCTTCCCTTTAGGCAAGGAAAAACAGGTAATAAACAATAGTTATATGTTAAAGATGACAAGTGGTATGGAATAAAGAAAGATAAATACATAGCAAAGTAAGGTCTGGACTACTGGCTGGGAGATAGAAGGCAAGTTGTGCTTTAATAGGGTGGTTTAGGTAAGTCTTATTGCACAGATGACATAAAGAAATCTACCTGGGGGCAGAAGGTGGTGGGACAGCCAGTGGCATTGTAGTAAAAGCAACTGGATCCCACATGGCCAGTTGTACAACTGAAGTCCTGGACCTGGAGGCTTGAAAAACATGCATGCATGTATGTCTGTTCCAAAATCTGTAAGAGAAAAATAGAGATGAACTGCAGTGTAGTAAAGTCTCACTTTCCCTCTCTTGTCTTTCTCTAGCAAGCACACAAGCCCCTCTAGCAAATAAGGGAAAAACAAAGTTACTTGTAGGAAGATCAGTTCAGAGAGATGGAATAGCCAATGAAAGGGAAGAGAAAGACATACCGTTCCCTTGATTCTCTTCCCCAATCATTGTCCTTCCCCCCACCCCCAGCAGCAGTCAGTACTGTAAAGTACATATGTATCCTTCCAGTCTTTATTTTCATACTTTGACTACATATATATGTGTCCATAAGCAATATTTAGTATTATCCTTGATTTATATAATGTCATGCCATATTTGCTGTTTGCCTGTTTTCATTCAAAATTATGAGCAAAATAGGTAAATCATGTTTGTCCATTTTAACCACTTAGTATTCTCCAAGTACACCACAATTCATTTTTTCCCTCTTGGAAGCAATGTTGCATTAACTGTCTTCATACATGTTTCTTTATGCATAAGTGAGTTTTTTAGGTTTTGTATCTAGAAGTATTAATAGCTGGGCTGTTCAGATGCACTTGCAACTTTTATTAGATATTGTTAAATTGGGGACCAGCAGTTGGTGTAATGGCTATGTTGCTGGCCTCCCATGTAGTTGACCACGGTTCGAGTCCTGGACCTGGGGGCTTAAACTCACACCAGGCGTGCCCGAGATCCTGAAAGAATAGAGGAGAAGGGATTGCAGCATGACCATTCCCCCTAGGGGGTGATTTCTCCCTTTCTGTCTGTCTTTCTGGCGAGCTCCCGCGCCCTATAGCAAAAACCTCTCCAAAACAAAAAAAAAAAGATATTGTTAAATTGGGGACCAGCAGTTGGTGTAATGGCTATGTTGCTGGCCTCCCATGTAGTTGACCACGGTTCGAGTCCTGGACCTGGGGGCTTAAACTCACACCAGGCGTGCCCGAGATCCTGAAAGAATAGAGGAGAAGGGATTGCAGCATGACCATTCCCCCTAGGGGGTGATTTCTCCCTTTCTGTCTGTCTTTCTGGCGAGCTCCCGCGCCCTATAGCAAAAACCTCTCCAAAACAAAAAAAAAAAGATATTGTTAAATTGTTTTGCAATTGCTCATATCAACAGTGTGTTAAAGGTATTATTTCTTCATGTTCTCTTCACACCTTAGTCTTTAACTTTTGCCAGTCTGATGGAGTGAATTGTTTTAATATTAATCTCCTATATTACTAGTGAGGTTGAGCTCTCATTTAAATGTTATTGGCTTTTTCAATTCTGCTCTTAAATATGATTTATTTATTTTAGAGGTTGGTTTTTACTATGTTGCCCATGCTGGCCTCAAACTCATGATCCTCCTGCTTCAGCCTCCTGAGTAGTTGGGACTACAGGAATGTGCCACTGCACCTGGCTTTCTTTGCCCGCTTATTTTATTGACTCGCTTTTTCTTATTGATTTATATAATTTTTTAAAATTTAAGTGATCTTTCTAAATGCTTCCTAAGAAACTCATCTGACTACAGAGTATTTTGTTGCCATCAATGGCTAAGTGTCAAAACTTACTTCTGATATTTTGAAATAGGTTTTTGTTTACTAAAGACTCTTTCTTACAATTTTTAATCCAACACTCATTTCTACCTGCTGCCAACCTAGCAAAAGGTGGGAAAATTAAAAAATAAAGTAAAACTAAAATCAGAACCTGCTTGCTTTGTTAGATATAACATTAGGTCATTGGGAAAATCATGACATACTTTTTTGTGTTTTTCTGTGCAAAACTTTATCATGACTTTCCCGACTACCCAGCAAAATATTTGTGGGAAGGCATTGAAAATTCTGTTACAGTATGTGCATATGTGTGTATTTTAATAAACTATCCAGTTTAATTTTCTACATTGTTCCTGTATTTACATCTTGACTAATAGTACTATTGTTAGAAATATATAAAAGAGGGACTGGACGTTTCCTTTTGAGATGATCATTATCAGATACTAAATAAGGAGCCACATTGCTATTGACTCTTTTCTGTAAAATACAATAAGAATTTTTTAAAATACTACTTTTTTGACATACAATATTAGAAATGTAATTTTATCTAGAAATAGAAAATGTATTGTACTTATTTAAATGTCACAATTCACGGATAAATCTTATCTTACTATTTTTCAGATTAACAAATAGAAATATCATACACAAACCTGCTGAATGGACCTTAATCGCAGTGGTGTTGCTATCATTGTAAGTATTAATGACATTAAATTCAGATTTTAATTCCAAACACTAAATACGTAGAATTTTGATTAGGAAAAAACAAAGTTATTCACTGATTTTGTAAACTGCTTTGAAAATGCCTGTGTCTTTTTCTTTCTTATATGATAAAGTAACTTATGAAAAGTGGTATGCTTTATTTTGACCAGCTGTAATCATTGTCTTTATATTTTTTACCATCATTTTTATCTGAGGGCCTTGTTCTTCACAAATACTATTAGTTATCATCTTTTGAAAAGTAATATCCCTGTGTTTAATATATACAGAATAGTCCCTTAGTTACTCTTTTTTAAGTTTTTTTTTTTCTTTTTCTTTCTTTCATTAGTGTGAATACCCTTACCAGAGTCTCACCATGCCACAGTACCCCTTCCACCTAGCCAGGATCACGTGTGCAGCCCACGTGGCTCTAGCACCACAGAGCAGTGCCTCACCACCCCCAGTGCCACTATGACTGAGCCTAATTTCATCCTTTTTTAGTTGCCAGGGGACACATGCATCACATGGAAGAAGCAGAGAGAGAGAAAGCACCCTTCTTCCCTTCAGTGGCTATGGTCACACCACAGTCCCTTTATGTCTTCATCCTGTTGGGATTTAGTACACACATGAGCATGTACCTTGTGTGTTTATCAAACTGCCAGGGCTGGGAGTCAAACCATGAGGTTGGCCATGTGAGGTCCAGCTCCCTTAACAACTAGACTACAGGACCAACCCTAGTTTTATTTTTAATAGTCCTTTTTATTAACATTGAAGGGCTTCATTGTTTTATAGAGTGTTTTAAAATATGAATGCTAGTTCCCTTTTTTAAAAAACATACTTTATCATTAATAGCATCAGAAAAGTTTTATTTTCAAATTAATGTACATTTTAAAATCTAACAGATTTAAAGGAACAAAAGTAGATGTTTACCACACAAGCATACATAAAACATTTAATACTCATTCACCTTTTAAGAAATCACTAGTGGTTTCTAAGGCCATAGGGTTAAAACCATTTAATAAATGTAGTGTTTTTCAGCTTGAATTGCAAAAATCTTCTTTTGAAGACCATTCATTACTGCATTACTGTTGCTACTGGTGCTTGTTAGGTCATTGAAGCCCATAGGACATGGAAAACTTACTGGACACTCACAGGTCAGGAAGTATTATGAGTCAACCTTATAACATCTCCAGCCCTGCTTTTTCTTTCTTTGATATTACTTCAGTCTGACATGTTATTCTGGCTTTACTGTCCCAAGGAAGGCTGTGCTGTGAAGCATTAGAGTAGGCTTCAGTGAGCCAGCATCTGTGTCACCCAACCAGATACAACTCACATGATTCATTAAATCAGAACACAGAAAATAACTTTACTTGAATGCCCAGATATAAATTTTTTATCACCCATAAGAACAAATCTTTTGTCATTTCTACTATTCAGTGTTCCAGTTGAATTGGTAATTTGTGAAACAGATCTTATTAATTTTTTAGAAAGTTCCTTCCATTTTATGAAATTTGTAAATATTTTGGTCACTGGCAAAGAAAATATCAGTATCTCTGCTCACCCACCATATCCTATGCCTGCTAATAAACCTTCCTAGACAACTGTTTAACTGTACTTCTGCAATTTATTACACCAAAGGGGAAGTAACTTTTTAGTTGACAAGTCAGAGGCGTAGGTCCATCAGTAATCTCAGAATCTTGCTTTCTAAGCCAGTGACTGGAAGGAAGTATTATCTTCATGAGCAGCTGCTTACCAAAGGCACATTAGGGCCTGCATTTTTTTTTTTTTTTTTTGTAAACTTCTGCCATATCATCTTCAAAATGTTTGGCAAGGAAAAAAAATTTATGGAAAGTGAAATAATAAAGACTACCATTAAAATTACATGTGATTATTCCTTACAAAATTGAACCTCTAGTGTTTGATTTTAATAGAGGCACCCATCTGTCATAAAATATTGAAAGCTTTGCTAGTCCTTTTATACGATATTTGACTTCCCTAACTTTGGATGTAATGTGGGGAACCTTATTTCAAGGGTCAGTGACCCATAAAAATAGTAACTTAATTGAATTCAAAAAAGAAACTGCACACAGATCGGGCGTATCGCATGTTTCACGTGCGATCTCGAAGTTGTAGCAGTAAACATCATTTCCTTTTGTCATTCACCTTGTATTCTTTCTTCATTATGCTCTCACCCTCGAGCTAGATCTAATCTTTTTCCTAGTCATGGACCCCTTTTGTGGTTAGTTATGGCCCTTTTGGTTATTTTTAAATCTTTGGTCACTCTAGCCACCAGGTCAGATGGTGCTTCCTAGGTTTTTCTCTTTGAAATTTTGTTTTCTCCTTGCAAGTTATAATTGAGCCTTTTCATTCTGTACTTGCACATTCTGTCTTCACTAGTTGAATCTTATTTTTGATCATCAGCTTCTACAGCTTCTGTCTCCTCCCCCGTATTATTTTATTTCTTATTTCCTCTTTTCTCAGAAAGTCCCCTTTAGTTTTTCATATTTCTGGCCCTGGGGAATCTGTGGGTCAACTGATAGCCCCTTTCATCCCAGCTTTGTCCTTTCATCACCCTTATTTATATTTCTGCTCTTTTCTCCTTCCACTTGCAGTTCATAATTATTTTTTAGAGAAGATGGCATTTTGTCCCTAGGAAAAGAAAAAGTAATCATGAGGGCCAGAGTTGGTTAGAGTCTTACTGTGAAAAATATGGACACTGCACACCCAAAGAGGCATGCATATGTAAAGAGAAATGCAGAAACACACACACATATTGTGGAGCAGAAACTCCACCCTTCAGCCTTTTAGCTTATTGCCATGAAGATTGAGTAAATATAGGCTACATATAGTAATTATCCCATGATTCAAAAACTTTCTCAGCTACTCATCAATTTCCAGTAGAATTATTTTTAGTCATAACTTGTAGACATTTCTGGAATTCATGTAAAAAAACAAACTTCTTAGGGTCCACAGGTGATGTAGGGTTAAGGTGCTGAACTCTCAAATGGCTAACTGCAGTCCCACACACAGCAGCTTGAAAATCATGCCAGGCATGTGTGTGTGCATGTCTAAAATCCCAAGAGGAGAATGAAGGAGAAGGGATTGCAGTATGGCCATCTCTCCTGGGAGGTGATTTCTCACTTTACCTCTCTTTTTCTGGTGAGTGCATCCACCTTATGCAAAAACTTTAAAAAAAAACAAAAAACAAAAAAACAAGCAAACTTCTTATGTCTTTGTAGCTAAGAAAAAGATAATAAATGGTAATCACAGTCACTGAAGATGAGTGTAAAAGATAATATGTTCTGTATGTTATAATAGTATATTGCTAAGTTTTGTTATTCTAGCATTTGTTTAATGCATGAAAGTTGTTCCTCATGCCTACCCAGCCAGCGTGGCACAGTGTAATGCAAGTGTTCTGAAAGGCTGTAAGCCATACAGCCAGCACAAATTAAGATCCCTGTGTCCAGTCTGAAAACATGCTGGGCATCCATGCAGATACACAGCATCCTGAGGTGTTGGAGGGCTGGGGAAGGGGGATTACAAGGCAATGAGACCCTGTCTAGTGTTCATCTCTCTCATACATGTGTACACTCCCTTTCTTAAAAAAAGAAGTTCTTTATGCAAACCACTTAGAAAAGAATACATGGACATGGGACCAGCAGTTAACATAATGGCTATGTCGCTGAACTCCCATGTAGTCAACTGTGGTTTGAGTCCCAGACCTGATGGCTTAAACTCACACTGGGCGCGTGTGTGTGCACGACCAGGATCCTGAGAGGAGAATGGAGGAGACGGGAATGCAACATGGCCATCACCCCTGGGGGGTGATTTCTCACTTTCTGTCTGTCTTTCTGGCAAGCACATGTGCCCTGTAACAAAAACCTCTCCAAAAAAATAAAGAAAAGAATACATGGACACATTTATACATTGGGTCATCAGAGTATTTTTCTATGTAAAAATGCATCGTGATTTTCCTAACACCTTAATGTAATTGTATTAGTATGTTACCATAGTGGCTTAGGTCTAGCTCTTGTTAGAGGGGGAAAAAAAGTCAACATCTTGACCAAGACATGATAGTTCAGAACAACAGACACAGAGCTGGGTCTTTAAGTTTCACATCTATATTCTTAAAAGTTAATAAGCTCTGCCTTTAGCAAATAATCTTTTTCTAGTTGCTTAAGATTAAAAATTTTTGAATCAGGCCAGCTCTGTAGCTTGGTGGTTAAGGCAGCTGGATTACACGACTGACCATGCAGTTGGAATCTCAGGCCCAGAGCTTGAGAAACATATTGGGCATGTGTGAATACCCAAAATCCTGAAAGGAGAGAGAGAAATGGAGAACAAACTTCAATATGACCATTCCCCATGGGGTGCACTTTCTCCTCCCTCTTTCACAAGTGCACATGCCTTCTAGCAAAAAAAAAGGTAAACTTTTGGACCTGGGCCAGCAGGTGGCATGGTGGTTGTGGCAGTTGACTCCACATAGTCAACTACAGTTCAAGTCCTGGACCTGGTGGCTTGCTTGTTTTTCCATGCACTCCTCAGAGAGACAGAGGAAGAAAGACAGAAAGCGAGAAATCAACCCCCCTAAGGGGGGCTGGCTATGCCACAATCCCTTCTCCATTCTCTTGGGATTTTAGGCATGCACACACACATGCACAACATGAGTTTTAAGCCACTAGGTCCAGAATTTGGTTTTTTGGGTTTTTTTTTTTTTTTTTTGGAGAGATTTTCCCTATAGGGCGCATGCTCTCGCCAGAAAGACAGAGAGTGACAGAGAGACAGAAAGCGAGAAATCACCCCCTAGGGGGGATGGTCACGCCGCAATCCGTTCTCCTCCATTCTCCTCTCGGGATCTTGGGCACACACGCACCCGGCGTGAGTTTTAAGCCACCGGGTCCAGGATGCGAACCGCGGTCGAATACGTGGGAGTCCAGCGACATAGCCATTACACTAACTGCTGGTTCCCAATCCAGAATTTGAACCACAGTCAA